CTTGTCGTAGCAGACGAAGGGGAGTTGGAAGCCGCACCTGTTATCAAACCAAAACCCGTCCAACACAGAGACGCACACGTGCTTCACATATCTCTTGATATTTGGTTGACCTGCTCTCCACACGTGAAAGTGCTGCTCGTTATTCGTATTGAGACTGTGATCCTGCGCAGACCACCACCACCTCCAGGGTCGGTCGTACCGGCCGATCCACACGTCTCCCTCATGACCAGGGGCGGCTGCAGTCAGACGCTCCATGTCCTCCATGTTGTCCACGCTGGCCAGGTCAGCGTGGTTCTCTCTGCAGAACGCCTGAGCTTCCTGCCACGTCTTCAGTTCATCAATGAAAACATAACGACGGAGGCAGGAACACAGTCCTGCCAGCACAGAGACAGTTATCATGGGAGAGGTGTCCATGTCCCCACCGGAGGACATAAATCCACTTCACATCAGATCTCCTACAGAGAAAAGAGAAATGTGGACTGACCTGACAGAAGAAGAATACACAGCACCGTCCTTCTCACACCTGTGGACCAGAGACACGATAACTATATATAATTACTCAGGAAAACTTGTGTACAATTACTTCAGTGCAGTTTCTCAGCTAATCATTAAAAAGTAGCTCACATATCAGTTTCCATTCAGCTTTAAGTTCCTTAAGATTTAAAAAGGTTTGTTTTATTTTTTTGAATCTTGTTTCTTACCTGAATTTACTGGACGGCAGGATGGTGACATCCTCCCCCTTTGAATCTGACGGAGCTTCAAACTGTCTGAATCCTTATCTCACCTGCTCTTGTCTTTCTCAAGTCCTGGTTCTTCTTCTTGCTTCTGAGCTTGATTGCAAATCCAATCCCTCCGTATGCAAAACCTGTCACGTGACCTTCGTCCCGTCACAGCAGCTGAACCGCACTATGTCTGATTTCAGTTTCCTCCAACTTACCCTGAAAACCTGCAGCACTGGTGTGAGAGTAAAACAACTGGGTTTATAAAATGATTTTCTCCATTAGGACAACTCACGCTCCGGTGTTTGAGAAGAACCAGAGCTCACCGGCCTTCTGGACCCAAAATCTTGATTAGCTACCAATCTCATTTTTGTTATTCGTCAAACTTATCAAGACGCTTCGCTTTCCTCCTCAGCAGACTGATCTGATGTTCCCGAAAACTATGACTTCAATCTTCAAACCTCTGTATTTTTGAGTCGTTATATCTAAAGAACGTTTAAGGACCCTGGATGTTCTCTGTGAGTCAAACCGCAGCGTCAGGGTCACGGACGGTTTGGGAAATGTTTGCTGCGGTGTCGTGCCGCGTTCAACAACGCAAAGCAGATGTAAAGCCGCTCGGCCTCGCCTGATGCAAACAGTATGCTAACATGAGGGGACGCACGGCCGCTTGCATCAGCGAATACAATAAATCTCATTCCCGCTCTGTTCTTATGCCACAAGTGATATCACAGTTACAAACATATGGTTTTGAATGGCAGCTCAACAAAGCGTCACAGTGCAGGGCGGCGGTCACGTCCGTGGTCAGGTGTTAAAAGCTCTGGGGCTGAGGTTATGTAAATAAACACGTTTGTGTCAGAACGTTTCCAAACCATCGGCTGTGAGCGTCTCAACAAAAGTTTAATGAACTCAGAGTTAAAACTGCGACGTTAAGATGGTGAACAAACTTCACTTCGTTAGAGAGGAAAGTGAAAGATGAAACCACACCTAATCTTTTCATCCACACACAATTACACACACACACACACAAGTCTCTACCTCAACTGTACAATTAAAGTAGAAATGCTCTGTTAGTGCTTTTATTTTCTACATAAGTCAGATGGAGCTCATCCTGTTTCAGGCTTTTTATTTCCAACACGTGGAACAAGAACAACTAACTTTACAGGTGAAGTGCAGGAGAGGAAACTGTTTCCTCTTGTTCACTCGTGGCTCTCCGTCTGTGCAGGTGTGTCACCTGCTCAGGTGTGGAACAAAGTGAACCATTGGACTCGAGGCGCCGCACCCACGAGGCAAACACCCGCTCCCCGTGTGAGAGCTGCCATTACGAAAGATCCCGCAGCGTGTAATGTTCACCCTGTCACAGTCGTGCGTGACGCGGGTCGACGCGTGAGAAGCGCTGAGCAGGCGTGAGACAGGGAGGAGGCCGACGACCTGTGGTGACGTTTCAGTTCTCCTGCTGCACGAGTCTCCACACGACAGGAGGCTCAGCAGGAGTCTTCTCCCGCCGAGGACACGAGTGTGAGCGGGTTCACGAGGAGCAGCCGAGAGTAAGAGACGTTTTAACCTTCTTTATAACCTCTTTATATAAAGTCTGTGGTTTTATACATGTGGACTGTTTTTAAAGAGCAGAGACCGAGGCTCGGTGTGATTTCTGTCCAATGTTTCTCCTGGTTCACTTTGTTAAATGCGATCAAATGATTTTTTTTAAAAAGTTAAATCATTGGTTTTTCTACTTTGTGAGAGTAAACGTGTGATAAATTTTAATTTTTTTTAAAGCAGGCCTTTCACCTGTTAATGAATCTGCATGATTTCATCAACAGAAAGAAATATGGAGCTTAGCACAACAGAGCTAACACGCTAACCCCGGGACGTGCTGCCACCTTTGTCAAGACACGTTGTGTAAAAATGTTTTAAACATTGGAGACATTCGGTGTCGATCGGTGGATTTTACACGTGTCCGCAGGGTTTTGTTGCTCTCAGACGAAGCCAGGCTAGCTTAACATGCTAAGCTAACAGGCTGTAGCTTCAGCGGGAAAAGGAAAGAAAAGTTAAATTGTAATAATAGTTGTTTACTAGGTAATAAAAAAATAATAGATGTTAATAACGATGTGAAATGAATTTGACGTCGTTGAGCTAATGGCTAAATAACATTAGCTATTTAGCATAATTCAGTGTTTTCCGCTCACTCGAAACTGATTTTACTACATTTTCAAAGTATCTCGGCGAAGTTTTTTTGTATTTGAGTTCTGTTAGCGCTCGTGACGCCATATTGAACTTGAAACCTGCTGGACGAGTTTGATTAGCGTAATCGATTGAATCCCTCGTTTAGCTCCCTCTACTGGCCAGAGGACTCCTCACACACCGTCAACACAAACCAACGACTCGGTGGAGTCAAAGGTTTCCATCGGTCTCGCTGTGTTTGTGTGGAAGGCGTCTGTTTGTTTTGCGTATATATTTAACTGAATTACTTGAGAAACCAAACAGCTGCAGGCGTGAGAGAGCCGAGCGAAAGCCCCAGTTACACAGTTAACACATTAAAAACGGAATAAAGAATGTGGTCGTTTGTTTTAAAGTACTTTAAGTGCGAGGTAGTTTTTTTTTATTTGCCTCAACCACACGTTAATGTTTTTTTTTGAGGGTATAAATCTTTGCATTTACTTCCTCTTTTAAAGTTCTTCTTCAACAAATCAGCTAACTTCTCTTTTTCTACGTTTCCCTCACTGCTCAGTCGACAATGGCCGCCTCGGGCACCATGTTACCAGAGAAACAGTTCCAGTGCACCATCTGTCAACAAGTGTTCACCGACCCGGTCACCACTCCCTGTGGACACAACTTCTGCCAGGCCTGCATCCAGAGTGCGTGGGACGGCATGGACGTCTGCCAGTGCCCCACCTGTGCCAAGTCGTTCAGCCCTCGGCCTGAGATGAACATCAACTCCGCCTTCAAAGAGCTGGCGGACGCATTGCGAAACATGATAGTCTGCTCCTCGGCTGTGCCGCTGTCCGCAGCCCAACCGGGCGAGGTGGTGTGCGACGTCTGTGCCGCCACGTCCCTGCAGGTGAGGGCCCTGAAGTCCTGTCTGGTGTGTCTGACGTCGTACTGCGGTGCTCACCTGGAGCCTCACCAGAGAGTCGCCACCCTGAAGATGCACAAGCTGATCGAGCCGGTGAAGAACCTGCAGGACCGGATGTGCAAGAAGCACGAGAGGCTGCTGGAGATGTTCTGCAGGGACGAGCAGAAGTGCGTGTGCCGCTTCTGCACCGAGACCGAGCACAAAGGTCACCAGGCCGTCGCCATAGAGGACGAGAGCCGGGAGAGGAAGGTACATTTCCAGACATGTACATACTGCCACAACTAAACCATATAAATACTCCCAATGATATTATCATTGGAATTTACATTTGATTTTTTCGATCAATTAAATCTACATAATGACTCAAAACTATGAGAGACGAGAAAGTTTCATGTTGGAATCGTGGGTTTGAAACCTTCGTCTCTGGCTTTTAAGGAAATTTAAGAGAAAATCTAAAATGTTGTCCAATTTCTGAATCTCTGTGTTCGTCTAATTAAACAGTTCTTGTGTTTTCTACCTGTCTTTCTGCCTCTTAGGTCGAAATGAAGACGACAGAGGCCGATTTTCAGCAGATGATCCAGGAGCGTCTGAAGAAAGTAGAGGAGATTAAGAGCTGCCTGAAGCTCAGTGCAGTGAGTCATCGAATCTGTGATTTCAGAAGTAAAATAATCGTCAGACAGTTTTCCTGCCATTAGTTCTACAGATATAAACATTTAAAGCTCTTTCTGTGCTTGTCTCTACAAAGCACTTCACCTCTGACATTTTTATTTTACAGTAACGACGGGAAAAGATTCCTTACACATTTCTGTATCCTCCTCCAGGTGAGTGCAGAGAAGGAGAAGAAGGAGAGCGACCGCCTCTTCTCATCTCTGATTCGCTCCATCCAGGAGGGACAGGCCGAAGTCTCCACGGAGATCGAGGAGAAGCAGAGGGGAGCAGAGAGGAGGGCCGAGGAGCTGGTCGCCGAGCTGCAGCAGGAAGTCACTGAGCTGCGGAGGAGAAACACTGAGCTGGAGGAGCTGGGGAACTCTGAGGACCATCTGCACGTCCTGCAGGTCCAACATCAATCTGTGGACAATCAAGAGTCGTCCATCTCAGAAGAGTCGCTTCGAGATGAGATGAAGAACGAATGCATTTTATATCTTTAACTGATGAAGCTTATTAAAGTGTTAGAAGGTGGTTTGAGAAAATAAAGATCAAAACTACGTTTCTTAAGTTTCAGGGTTTACATAACAAACACTTGAGTTTTTTATGTAAACAAAACTCAAACTTATTCTTTTTAACACAAAGAAACGTTTGAGTTTTGGATCCCACTGCGATTAAAAACATTTCTTTCTTGTGTTCCAGAGGCTTCCCTCTCTCACATCGCCTCCACCCTCCAGACAGTGGACTGAGGTGGGCGTCCACCCAGAGCTCTGTGTGGGGACCGTGAGGAGGGGGCTGTCCAAAGTGGACAACACTCTGAAGAATGAGCTGGACGGCCTGAGGACAGAAGGTGAAGTGTTGCCAACAGAAAGTCTGAAATATTCAAAGTCACAACTTTATGAGGTCAAACTGAATTTTGGTTTATTGGTGCGAGAGGAAAGTAAAGTGTGAAGGCCTTAAATTAATTCCTCATTAAAACTTTTAATTTATATTTTTTACTTTTTCCCCAGAGATGAAAAGGATGCAGAAATATGCAGGTACGACCTCCCTGAACTTAAATATGGTTTGATGTTGCCGCCCCCTTGTGGCTGACAACAGTTCATGCAGCTCCTTTAACTGAATTTCACCCCCCCCCCCCAGTTGAAGTCGTGTTAGACCCGGACACCGCCCATCCAAACATCGTGCTGTCAGCTGACGGGAAGCAGGCGGGCCGCGGCGAGCTGCTGCACGTCGTCCCTGACATCCCCCAACGCTTCGACCCCGTCATCTGCGTCGTGAGCAAGAGCGGCTTCCTGTCTGGGAGGTTCTACTACCAGGTCGGTTCTTTACAGACGGACGACAGCGGCCATGAGATGAAGTCAAATTTAAATTTGGGTTTTGAATATTGAATCTCTTGGTTTTCCATGTTTTCAGGTTGTGGTCGGGACAAAGACCTTCTGGGACCTGGGCGTAGTCAAAGAGTCCGTCAACAGAAAGGGGATGATCACGTCCAAGCCCGAGAACGGCTACTGGACGGTGCGGCTGAGGAACGGGGACGAGTATCGGGCCCTGGACTCCCCCTCCGTCCGCCTGTCTCTCAAAGAGAGGCCTCAGACCGTCGGGGTGTTCACAGATTACGAGGAGGGGAGGGTGTCGTTCTTCAACGTGGAGAACGGGTCTCACATCTACAGCTTCACCGGGTGTATGTTCTCCGAGAGGATCTTCCCCTTCTTCAGCCCTGGTGTTTGTGATGAAGGGAGGAACAAAGGGGCGTTGGTCATCACAGCCGTCAACCCTGAGACTTAGAGGACGAGTCTCTGCCGGCGACCTGAGGCTGAAGATGTTTGAGAAATGATTTAATATCAAAGCAAAACTACGCAACTTGATTAAAGTGAGTTTTAATGTTTGAGTGTGAACATGAAAACCAGAGTTACAACGTTCAGCAGGAAACTTTAAGACATGTTCTGAACAGAGTTTGGTGCAGCAGCGCCTCAGGTTCAGGAAGCAGAGGATCGTGGGTATTATCCACTGTTGCATCACCGCGTGCGGCTGCTGTTTCCCAGTTAAAGTTAAATAGTTTTGTTTGAAAGTCTTGTTTTCTGTTTCTTTGGGTTTTTACTGCACTTCTCAAACATTTTGTCCCGAGAGCAAATCTGAATAAATTCACCATTAAAAACTATTTTTCACGTATTTATCTTTTATCCCGTAAAGAGGGGGCGGAGCCCATTGGTTGTAAATGAATATGACATGACAGCTGTCGTTCACATGCAGATTCTGTTTATAGAGAATAGAAGATAAACAACACACAGCACCAGGTCATGGTCTCGTCTCTTTGCCCAAATGTTCTTCTTTTTACTTCATTCAAGGTTTCATGAGTACAGCGGGAGACAAATAAATACAGACAGAACAGAGGAGGAGCGGGAGGTCAGAGGACGACAGTGAACTCCTGCAAGTCCTGAAGTGAAAAGCAGAGCTACAAGAACGAAAACTGTTCCATCCTGCGATCTTCTGTTAACACGCGTCACCCTACGAGCCTCGTTCTACGGAGAATAATGGCAACTGTGTTTTTTTTTTTACGATAAGTTAAAGTCCCGATAGTGAACAAAAACAAAACACAAGTGACAGATCTGTAAAGAGAACACACAGCGAGCGGCCCCTCAAACACGAAGCTGACAGAAACAGTGAAATCATTAAAAAGAACACAAAACTTGCCTCGTTGCCTTTTTTTTTGTAGATTTTTACTTGAAAAAATACTTTTAAAAAGTAACAAATCAGGAGGAAACAGCTGCGGTGAAAGTCTCGTAGTATCTAGTTTGACTTGATAGAGGACATCTTTAAAAACCAAACAAAGAATCATGACGCGTTAGTGATTTATCCGGCTTTACGTATGGCACCTGCACACCAGTGAAAAAGTCGTTGCGTTAAATCAGAGGCACCGCGACTTTTGCTAATATTTTTTAACTCGTCCTCTACGTGCTGGGAGACAGGGTGGTGTTGTTTCTTGGGGGTTTTTTTTTTTTCCTGACAAAGAGAAGATATATTCAGATGAAGGGGAAGATGATATTAAGACTTGTCTACAGATTTCAGGAGGTTTTCTTTGCTCCTTCTCTTCACGTCCCAGTTGTAGACTCGTGCCATGTCTGAGGAGGGCGGAGAGTTAAAGGAAAACAACAGCGGCAGCAGCAGCAGGATCAGTCATCTTAAGAGCAGCGTTTCACATTTTCATTTCATAACAGACTCAAGCTGAAGCAGTTTTTGTCTCAGGCTACATCCACAAAGCTTCGTTCCTCCAACATTTCAGAGAAACATTAATAAAACACTGGATATAACATTTCAGTGCGTCTCCATCAATACCCATCAGCCCGACCTGGGTGGACGATATCGTGGAAGGATACTGACTTCGATGGTGGTGAACTGGTCTCGCAGGAAATCCAGATCCTCCACGAGCGTCTCCAGGTTGCGTGACGCCGTGGAGAGGTTCTTCTCGAGGAGAGCCTGGGCTTCATCGATGTCGTACTCCAACATGACGTTAGCCTTTATCAGGAAACGTATTTATTAAAGCTACTTCATTCATCCCTCTTAGTTTAACGTTTGCATGAAGTGGCGTTTACTGGAAGATAAGCACATCTTTTGTTTCTGGCCTGAGCTCGACTTACCCCTAACCATAGACAGACTTTGTCGGTGGGCGGCACTGAGGCCTTGCAGTAAACATTGTCAGCCAATAGGAAGTGAGTCTCCATGGGGTCTGTGGTTTCCTGGGGAAATGGAAAGTGCAGCACACTCGGTCAAAAACCTCTCAGCCATAATCGAGTCTCTTTCTTTATCCGAGATCTGATCAATAGACATTTTCTAAATAAGCAACAAATCAAAAACCACGATTAACTCAAACATCAGGAGGTTTAAAAACATTTACACAACTTGGAAACTTTTCATTTAAACTTCTGTGTTAGTTTAACAGAAAAGTTTTACTTCTGACATCTTGTATCAACACCAGATTAAAACATAATGACAGATGCTGGACACGGAATGAAGAGGAAGAGATTTAAGTTTACACCACGATGCATTTCTTATCTTATCTGTATTGTAAAAATAATGCTTGAGCTAATAAATAAGAAAACATAACTTCCAACCTTTTTCTTCTGCATGTGTCGGAGGATTTCTAGCGTCTCTGTGATTTGTGGGATCTGGTTTTTCAACCTTAACGTGAAGAGAAATGAAGCAAACTGTTCACGTTGTTCAGTACAGAAACAAAAGAATCACAAATATGTAGAGACGTATTAAAAGGACCGATATATATATATATGCGTATATAAATACACGAGTGTGTGTCTCTGTTACCTGAGCTTCTTCTGGGACAGGTTGAGCTCCATGTATTTATATTTCTGGTACTGTTCGTCCAGCCTCCTCAGCACCGCATCCGCCGTCTCGTTGCCGGGCTGCTTCATAAAAGTGTCGACATCCTCCTGTCGACAGAAACGTTTCGTGTTTACTGTGACGAAGTGGGGAAACGTTTTCAGCTCGTTGCGAAACTAAACGTGTCCCTGGACTCTCGGTGGGTAGAGCTGCAGATATGGATTTCTTTCATTCAGGATTCACTGAGTTTGATCAATTCATTGAAAGAGCGACAGCGACAATAATCATTACTTGCAGTTTTAATATATCTCTATCTGTAAATGTTGCCTCATCAGCACCTTAACCTATCTATTGGTACTTTCTGGTTCCGTGTAAAACTGCATTTCGTTGTACTTGTACGACAGTCTGATGTCATCGGTGAAACACTAGGTGGCGCTATAATCTGTATTTCACCCATTAACGTACATTATTGAACCACAGGTAGCAGCTGGTGCATGGAGGAGAGAACAGGAAGCTGTGTGATGTCCATAGATGGAGGTGACACACACACACACACACACACACACACACACACACACACACAGAGAGTAAAAGACTAGCCGTTAGCTCGCAGCTAGCATGACGCGCCCACACCGGCTACACCCACAGAAGTCCCCGGCTCCCGCAGCCTGAGTCCGGCTGCGCCTCGACCTGCGGCACGGGGAGGGGAGCCGGGCTCTACTCACCACGAACGCGGCCTCGGGGATCCCCAGGTGCTTTTTCTTCGTCGCCGGAGCAGCATTGCTGTTGTCTATGGTCGCCGCCATCTTGGAGAGAGGCCGCTCCTTCCTTCCTCACGCGTCTCGTCGCTGCGTCTCAAGAGCACAGCGGAGGCTCTGCTGCCCCCAGCGGCCACGCCCTGCCACTGCACCCGACACCCCTCCAACAACTGACCTGTGATCAGTGACTTTTTATTTTATTATCAATCTTTTATTAATGTGAATAAATATAAACTGATCCAAACTCACGATGTTTATCTGTGTTTGATTTTATATTATTTATATCCCTTGTATTTTAATTCTTTGTACACATGAAGGTTTGAAGCACAGCTTTGTATCGCTTCACTTGTTTACGGAGCTTTCATTCTATCTTTATTCAGGAGCGAGGTCTTTCGGTTCGAGCGCATGACTTGTTGAATTAATGTTCATATTGTGTATCACATCAAAACCCTGCCCTTGCACTCAAATAGCCCGTTTGCACTTAAATTTGCTCCGACTTATCAATACTCTGCCTCTGTTACTTACGATCCCCTTATACTTCAAATATTTGTATTGTCAATATCTCCATTAGCACCTACGTCTTCTTTTCTAACTCCACAGTATGTGTCTGAATTCGCCCTGTTGAATTTAAATATATAACACATTGTTTGGGTCCAGTCACATTTCAGCTGGGACCAGTGCCCCCCCTGGGCCCCACCTCTGGCCCCGCCCTTGAGATCTCAATATATAATAAAGTTTTTCAGAAACTAAAACAAGACGACACCTTGAGTTAAACAAAACAAACGGCAGCGAGAAGATGCTTCTTTTTCCAGTCACATTTTATTTTTTTAGTACATTTCAGTTTGTAGATAGATAACTAGAGCAGAGGAAGAGAGACTGTCGGCTGTCACCCGGCAGGATTAAGGACTGTGAGGAACAGTTTTGTCTTTGTACAGCTCAGAGGACTGAAAACAAACGACTCCTGTGGAAGAAGAGTTACACCGAGGGCAGGAAACTGTTGTTGTCACCCGACAGATGCATGCGTTTGAATACAGGGCTCGCTGACATGTTGCCTGTCACAGTGTCAGAATCAACGGGTTTTTCCTTTGACCCCTAAATAACGTGTCTGTGTGCAAAGTCAAAGAAAGGGGCAATTTGTGAGAGGTCTTCAGGTGTCGCTCCAAACACTCATTATTCATCTTGTCAACAACATCATCAGATCATCAGACACAGCTCATTATATCATCATGGCCAGTAGATAAGCTGCTCTGCCAGAGGTCTGAACAGAATCTGCCAGTAAACGGACGTTCGTTATTTGTGGCTAAAACTCCAAACGGATGCTAAACGTTAAAGAAAGTTTAGTAAATTTGCTTATTCCCTTTCTTCTTCAAATTAAAAAACACTCTCGTGCTTGTGCATGAAGTTTTAAGCTGCAGGCTCGAGGAATCTGACGCAGTCTTCTGTCTCTTTCTTGCATTCATGTCCCCCCTATGTGCACGTCCTCTGAAAGCGTCAGGCTCATCCATGCTGCTTTACTTACGAATTATCGCTTCACACGATGTCACCGCAACTCCCGACAAACTTCCATGCATCATTTACGTTGGCACAGCTGTTAAAAGTCCAGCGCTTCATCAGCAAACATGAAGAGGAGGCTGTGATGATGCTCTTCATACGTCGGGCACAGATGAACAAAGCCTGGCATGGAGGACATGATGCAATTAAAGTAACAGAGCTGTCGGTTAACGTGGGTTCTGGGTAGAAACTCATCTTCACACCATGAAGTGAATAAGCAAATTTCAAACTGCTCCTTTAGAAAATAACTCACTAAGTTTAATCAGGAAGAAAAACTGTGGTTTCAACAGTCGAACATCTCAGAACTGAAGATTTTTGACACCTGTGTTGAAAAGTGGCGCCACAGACAACTTCATCAGCTGAAACTCAAAATTCTTCATTCACCTGCGACACTGGTTCAACTGAAAATCAAAGTCTACTGTGATATTACATTTATGCACACGCACCCAAAAAGGCATGTAAACCACTTTTTCCTGTGTTGGGTTGACGCCTGCTGATTGGACCCTCTTGGCTCGACGAGTCCCGTCCGTATGCGTGCACGGATGTTGGCGTGGCTCTTTTTGCGGAGTCCGTTCGTCGAGTTCCCCCCTGCGTGGTCTGGTCTCCCTCTGTCTGAGAAATAAATAACCTCCAGTTTGCTTATTTGCACATTTCAAACGGCTATAGAGGCTCCAACATTCCTATTAGTCCACTTCATACCAGTTAAAGGCAAGAGAGTTAGGAGTTGTTACGCGTCTCCACCTCCGTCAGTTAAGCTGTACACTTCTTTTCCTGTTTGCGGAGTCCACCAGGAACCGGGTGGGTGACGGTGTTTTGTGTCGGTGCTGGAATTAGCAGAATGACAGTGGATGTAACCATGTTGTTGTCATCGAGCTCACTGCAGCCTTCAGATGTTCCACGGAGAAATAAAGTGGCAACGGAGTTAAGGCTACAAGAAGGAAATCAGTCTTTTGATTTAGGACTCCTCACTTGAGCTCTGATCGTGGAATGTGGAATAATCTGTCAGCAGGAGAGAAATGAAACTCTTTGTACGGAGGGAGACGTGATCTAAAGGTGCTGACTGATCTCATTGGAATGGTGTGTGCTCGGAGGATGTCGGACAACGCCAAAGTGGTTGTTTTGTACGTGATCATGTGATTGCATATTGGTGGAGGAGAGAAGGTAAAGAAGTGAAGGGAGAAGAGGTGAAGGAAGAGATGACGGGAGAAAGAACGACGTCACGAGTCGAGAGCGTCATCTCATTTTGGCGAAGAACCAAAATGAATCTTCTTTCTAAGGCCTTTCTAAAACTCTGAGGCAACAAATCCCATAAACAGGCTAAAGGAGTTGAATCGTGGGAGCCCTCGATCTGTGATCCTTCATCTCCAACGGATAAAACGTATTTATAAATGGGCACATCCCTTCACCTGTGCACCCACGTTTACGGTGTTCATTGAAATCCCTCAAACAATCCCTGTTTGTTTTCAGTCTGAAGAAACAACGGAGGGTTAGCAACAGTTCCAGTCCCGGGGCCGACACCTCAGTCCGTCAGCCGCTCCCCTCTGAGTCCTCCCCCCCCTTTTCGCCTTCAGTCCCATCGTCAAACTCTTTCCAGATCAACAGAGGCAGCGGCGGTCGCTCTTGGTCACTTCCTCGGAGGAGTGAACCACGTTGGGGACGAACCCGCTCTTCACGCCCTCCCAGCCCTCCTGGATTGTGATGTCGCCGGACCGCACCAAGGCGAAGATGTCTCTGGTCAGCTCAGTGAAGGCGTGCTCGACGTTGATGGCGTCACGGGCCGACGTCTCGATGTAGCGCATCCCATAAGCCCCCGCCAGCTTCTCTGCCTCCTGACGGCTCACCTGGAAGGTCGGTAAAGATGGGATGAAAGAAGTGGAGATGTAAAACACGACAATCCTTGATTTATAGATTTTCAAATGTATGAACATAGAGATACAAGTGAATTTATAGTTCAGGTTGTTGTTATTGAAATTCTCAGACGTCATCTGCAACATTATCAAACCACGAGAGAAGAAAACATCAGATCATCGGCACTGAGACGCTTCACTTATATTTTGAAATATATTTTCTACTTCTGCTGGAAGTGAGCGAATAGATCGAGCGGCGAGGTCAGGAAACCGTGCATCATTTCCTGGTTTATCTGATTTTAATATTGATCTTGATTTTATTCTCTGAGTGTAGACACACCCCTGTGCTTCTCAGCGTGATCCTCGAATGTCTAATTTGGTGACATATGGATTTATTTTTGCTTCAAACGAACAGCGACGACTCGACTCTGATCTAAAATTGAACAGAAGGTTATTTTTAAAACTGCACACTTTGATCAGTTTGAGACATTGAGCCACTCTCCATCCCCACAGACCGGTGTAGTTTAGTTTTGCGGCGTACACACCTGGCGCTGCGCCTCCAGGTCACACTTGTGGCCGACCAATAGGAAGACGATGCTGTGGGGTTGGACGTGGCTACGCGCCTCCTCCAGCCAATCGTGGACGTTCTGGAAGGAGCGGCGGTTGGTGATGTCGAACAGGAGGAGCCCGCCCACAGAGTTGCGGTAGTAAGCCCGGGTGATGGACCTGCAGGGGGCGAAAAATGAAAAGAACGTTTCATTCGTCAACACAATTAACTCAATAATTTGACCCTGTGACGAGAGGACGGCTCCGCCCACTGCTGCGTCACATGGTGCAGTAACACTGGAGCCAGATCTACGACGTGAAATCTTTATTCAAATACAATAGATTTTATTTTGTAATGAAATTGCATCAGTGGAATGAATTAGTTTTATTTCTGTTCTTTAGGAGCTTGTGGTCGTATTGTTGTTGTACTGTCCTGTGACCAGCAGGTGGCACAATAAGAGAGGGTGCATATACATTAGAAACGAATGGAACTCTGTTTAATAAACTCTGTTTGATAAATATACCTGAAAAACACTTTATGGTTTATACATTTAAATTAGAATCAATAATTAACGATTCAAAGTTTTTCTCCGTTCTCTACCAATCACTGTTTAATTGAGGAGCAACACAGCAACGGTCTCAGACTCAGTGGCTTAGAGGGTGGGGCGGGTCGTCCTTTATACAGAAGGTTGGTGGTTCAATCCCCTGCTCCTCCAGTCTGCACTCAGAGGTGTCCTGGGGACACTGAACCACAAATTACCCGTATTAGATACGAACTGAATTTGATTTAGAAGGTACATCCACGAGCGCGTCATGTGCACAACACCGGGTCTGTTATTAAAGTTTAGGATGAAGAGAATGAGCCTCGTTTGGTGAAGAGGAGAAGAATCTGGAGGAAAACGTAACCAGAGAGAGAAACTGATGACAGGAGGTGTGAAAGGAGGAAGGAGATGGAGGTGTCAGGCAGAAGAACTCAGACATGGTAGTTGTTTGGTATTGTGACAAATTTAGTTTTGATGATTCGCACAGAATAAAGATAAACTTCAACAAGGGCGTGAAAACAGGTGTCATGTAAAGAGATTGGGGTCAAATATCTACGATTAATAACCAGCAGCAACAATCTCATCGTCATCATTTAAAAACCTGAGAGGAAACGATTCTTGTGTGTTACATAACATAACTTCCTCCCTGCAGTCAGACAGGGAGGAGCGCTGC